TGTCGCAGTTGTGTGTTCAGGAGTCTACGTGACTGCAGCCACAGTCGCAGCCACCTGGGAGGTGTATTGGAGAGATCGGAGGAGTTTGTTCCAATATTGGATTTTCTCATGACCGTTCTTGATACATGTTTGCTTTTAAGGAAGACTTATTTTGGAAAGGTAGAAGGACCTTCTGATGACTGTGATGATAACGTCTTTCTTAGGTGTCTCCTCACCATGAGCATCTATTTCTTTGTCTCTCTTTGCGTGCGTGTCATGGAGGTTGAATTCGTTACTAAGCCCTGGCTTTAGGGTCCGGTGTATATTTTGGGGCCGGTGTGCATCTGGAGCACGCTGTCTGGTGCTTGGTGTGTGCAAACCTGGTTTCTAAAGCTCAGCCTGCACAGGCACCCACCTCCATCGTCAGAAGGGTCCGTGATTTTCATCATCCCTCATGCCATGCATAGGATCCCGAGAGGAGGAGGATAATGGACCATCCAACGTACGTGATCCATACCGTGCCCTGCCTCATCATTGAGCGTGCCCTAGACCCCCTTCTGGACCGCACAACGTATACGCATATACACATTATGGCAGGGATAATGTGATTCCGCTGATGAAATTGGATCCAAGAATAATCTTCTTTGACCAGCATCTGAGATTTTTCAATGTTTGATTTGCCCTTTCATTATAAAGTTATACTAAATAACATTTTCAGGTGGTTTTGCTTCCAGGTAGCTAGAGGAAGAAGACGCTCTCGTCCTGCCAAATGATCGTACAAAAAATAAACGCTCATGTATGTATAAAGCAAGGAAACTTGAGTAAAATCTCATAGGTCAGTACTTCTCCCTTGTTCACCCTGATGCATCAAGACAGTCCATGTAAAATATTATTATCTGAGGCTGGTCCTCATAACTGAGGGAGGTAAAAAGTGCTGGGCTGGCATGTTGAAATTTTACACCTCATCTTTCATGTCGTTTCTAACTGATGCGTTTGGTTTCCTTCTTTTCAAATACGATTATTTTAAAGAGTAGTTTATGGTATAAAAAGAAAAGAAATACTTCATTTTTCCCCTAAATGATTGTAATGATGAATTACATGGCTTCAGAAAGCAGTTTGAAAGGCGCTGTGGGCTCCTTTGAAGAAAGTGTCATCTTGATATGAATCAGGAATATTATTTTATAAATATTTGAATAGCTGTAAACTACCAATATTGAGTAAAATGTGATCGCTATCTGGTGAGACCCTTGATGTTTCTATCAACTTCAATATATTTTAGTAGCAAATCTACAGAGACAAATTCATCTTAAAAATGATGCTAATTTGGGGGAACGTGCCCCCTTCAAACATTGGTGGCTCCAAGATACAGTTGCAAGTTGGATACTTCAGCCTTTTCCAAATTAAACAAAAAACAGCCTTGAAACTAAGAACCCCATTTTACTTATACTAAGTTTTACATTTTATGGGGTTTTTCCCCCCCATTTGGTTGTATATTTTTTTAGTTATCGTAATTTTAGAGGAAAAGCAATTCAAGACCAAAATGTGATTGAAAGTTAATGAAAATTAGCCATTAGATTAGGTAGTAGCATTGCTGCTGCTATCTTCAATTGGTTTCTTCCTCGCCAATTTAATCAATTTTAAAAAATGCATAAAATAACGTATAGTCTCTTCATAAAATACGTTAGCACTTACAGAAGCATCTCTTAAAAATCATCCCTTCTCTAGGAAGCCGTGAGCGTTACGAGGGTTGAGAAGAGGACTATTAGCAGCTTACCTGAGTCCATCTGTGGCAGTCTTCTGAAGAAAAGCAAAATACTTCCAAGTGAAGTTCACGTGTCTCTAAAAATGGGTTTGTAAGAGGGGAAGCATCAAGGGAAACGTTGACAGATATTTAATTATAATGGCAGTAGTGGCTGTTGCTGTGTTAATAGCATCTGGCAGCAGAGTCACCGCCATCTGTTAATGCCCTGAAATTCTGATACGGTGCATCCTTTATGGAGGAATTAACGATAATTAACGAATGTATCAAATGAAGTCGCCTTGATTGGATGACAGCTTTACCTTGATAATGATTAATTGCAAAATAATGGGGAGTAAAATGTCCACTATTCACCTTTTTACTATAGACTAGCTAATGCCGCTATCTGAGTACAGCATCCTGGAGGGTTTACTTTTAAGCTTGTGGTGTGAGACATCATTTAGTGCATCTCCTTTAAATAGTCTTTATAAGCAGAGCTAGATTAAAAACAAACTTTTGCATCCTAATTTCTGTTTGCAGACTCTGAGTTGCGTTTCTGCTGATGCATGGTGACTTATTTAATGTTAAATAAGGGAGAAAATGAGGTTAGGCTGACAGAAGTGACCCTTCAACCAAAGTCAAGTCAGCCTGGAAGAGCAATCTGACTATGTTAAAGCATTTCATGTTTCTTTGTAATCTTGATATTAGAATCCAAACTATTAATTTCTGATGAATCAGTTTGTCTTCAAAGTGATGGGGAAAAAAGTGTTCTATTTGTCTGCATTTGGAAGAATTATTTTTGAATATCTATTTTTATCAAAGCCAATATTTCGGTCGGTGTAATGAAATATCACTGCCATAAATAATAGCTCTAAACACAGCGACGAGCCAATTTGAGGCCTGGTTGGGTTTTATTTTTCTCTTAACTCCCCTTTTTCTGTTCGT